AGGACTGGAAGAGGCGTCCACCACAGGACTGGAAGAGGCGTCGACCTCCGTCAACTTCTGGTCTGGGGGCGTCGACTTCTGGTCCGGGGGTGTCGACTTCTGGTCCGGGGGCGTCGGCTTCTGGTCCGGGGGCGTCGGCTTCTGGTCCGGGGGCGTCGGCTTCTGGACCGCCCGCCGACTTCTGGACCGCCAACTTCAGGACCGCCAACTTCTGGACCGCCGACTTCTGGACTGGAACCGTCGACTTCTGGAGTGGAGGTGGAGGTGCTGCAGGAGGAGCTGCCGACTTTTGGACTGGCCGGCCCGGGGGAAGAGCCTCTTGGGTCACCGCCGGGACCAGAGCGGACCGAACTGGAGGCGCCGGAAACTGGGAGAGTAGGGAGGACAGACTGTCCAGCTGGAGCTCCTGGAGACTGAGGGTCTGATGGAGTTGGGCCAGCTCAGCTCGGAGACCGGCGAGCTCTGCTGGGTGGACTGCAGGCTCGATCCTTTGGTCCTGTGACGAGGGAGCTGCTGACTGGACCAACACCTTCTCCTGGTGATGCGGGGAGGAAAGGGTTTCCAGCTAGAACTCCTGGAGGCTGACGAGCTGACGGATCCGGCCAAGCTCCGCCTGGAGACCGGCGAGCTCTGTCAGCTGGGCTGTAGGCATGGTTCCTCCGCCTGCAGATGATGGAGGCGCTGATTGGACCGGAGGCAGGACTGCTGGTCTGACTGGGGGCGGGTCCAAGCTGGTGCGCCGAGCCGGGGCAGTGGCGAGCTCGCGGCTCCGCCCTGGGACACAGGGTTGCAGTGGAGCCCGGCATCCTTCCCCACGCCGTGGGCCAACTCCGGGGGAGCACACAGCCAGTCTGGTGCCACGTAGCAGGAGTGGTCTGGCAGCGTCTCCTGGTCCAACCTCTTCTCTGGCTCTGGGAGGGTGGAGAGGATCGCCGAGGCTGAAGTTCGGTGACGCCGCCTGCGGCGAGGCGACGCCGGTGGGGGAGAAGCCGGCCGGTGGTCCAAGGAGAGGAATTGGAGCAAGCACTCCCAGGGGAGAATCTCCCCGCTGGATCCTTTAGTGGGTTGGATCATTCTGTCAGGTGTGCTGGTGAGTGAGACAGAGGTGAGGATCCACACGCAGGTCAAGAAGGAGGCAGGCAGGCAGACAGGAACATTAAAACAGGGATTTTAATCGGGAACACACTGACATAGAAACAATGATCCAATACGAGACACAGAACTGAAGGGGTTTAAATACAAGAGGGCTGGGAGCTTGGGTGATTGGAAAACGAGAGGCAGGTGGGAGCAATTAACTGAGACACATGGCTGAACCAAACGGGGGAGACAGGACAGGGTGTACTCTGCGAGTGCCAGAAGAACAATATTTTCTAAAACGAGTGTGTTCTGTGTGCACCAAATCTTTCTAAACTACAGTCCAGTTTTACTTTTCATAGACACAAATAAACACACATATGTGTTACTATAGCAGAGTTCTGAAAAAAGTGGTTTTTAACATCTTTTTGTATAAAAAGTCTCAAAGGATGGAAGGGACACTTCCTTCGTGCTTCATCAAATGATGTTAAAAATAAGCACAAAAAGTTTAGGGCTTGAGTGTAACACTATATTAAAACCTGCTGCTGGTGGTGACACACACACACACACACACACACACACACACACACACACACACACACACACACACACACACACACACTGACAGCCAAGCATGCACATACACACAAATTTATGTGTTTGACCATTTTCACCTGTGCTTGTGGGTGAAACTTTAACTGATGCCTTTTTGGGTGCAGGAACTTGTTAAAACCATTTCGTCTGCAGCTACACGTATGTAGTCACTGGTTCCTCACCACAAAGGTTTGGAGAAAAAAGTGATTTTATCATCCTTCATGCAAAAAGTGTAACTTCATGCTTCACCCACAAGCCATGGTAAATTTTACCAGATTTTATTTAGAGTAAAACACATTAAAATACTGGATATTAAAATCTAAGCATTTAAATGTAGTTAGAATTCCAACGTGTGCATTCAACTTAATTATGAAATGTTTTGAATTCACATTTTTAGATGGTTTAGGCACTTCCAAAAAAAAAAATAATACTGTAATTCTGTTCATTTTCCTGTGCATGTGTGTGACTTATCTCCTCGCTGTCCTGAGCAAGAGACGAGTGATAAGATCTTGCAAGAAAGCATGTGTAGGTAAAATGTTGACCACTTCCTGGCAGGAGTGGTTTGTTAAACAGAAAGTCTTCTGTTTTCCGAGAGGTGGATCAGGTTTTGATATTGTACCTGCAGCCCCCCACCAGTACACCAACTGGTTTCTGTAGCTGTGACGCATCATAGACTCAGTGCTACTCTGCAAACCATCAGTGGAGTCCTAAGAGAGGTAGAGAAAAGGAAATGAACTTGGAGACCACAAAAACCGAACTGTTGCAACAAAACCTGCAGGGAAGCAGCAGGGCTACATTTAAACCGTCATATTTTGTAGAATTTTAGAATACGTTGAATTTGGTGATGAAGTCTGACGCTGGCTCTCAGAAAGCCAATTCTTCTCCACGAAGTCCCTGATTGATAAAACTTTGAGTAATTTCCTCTTCGAGATACTTTTTTTGCCCTAATTAGATATTTTTAACACAACCTGACAACAACTGCACATAGTCGATCGTTACATTTTAAATCTTCAGCAAAGTAACATTTTAAAACTAAAATTAAAGTTCTTAACCTGTAAATGGTAACATTAACCTTTCCAAACATTAAAGAAAGTTTCACTTCATTTAAGCCACGTAAACCTGTTGTCTGAGACTAGTCAATCCACATTTCCATCTTTGGTTAAGCTAGAGACCAGCGTGCATCTGCAGCTGAGAAGATGAGCTAAATGTTTCATGAGCATTATCATATGCAAACAGAAGATTAGCTTGCCCATGTTACGGTGTGAGGTGAGTATGCTTCCAATTAACTCTGCCTCCGAGGTCCAGTCCCAATACTCGCAATACACCCTACAGTCTTCTGTGAAGTGCACTTGGAGGAAGTGTGCAGTGGGCTTCAAGTGCGTAGCACACAAGTGTGCAAATAATTGCTGAAATGGGACAGGGAGCATTGAATCATCGACCGCAATACATGCTGGGATGCTGGTTGTTCTGCTAATTAAAAAAAAACCTTTATTAACTACTTTCTAACAAACAAACAATTATTTGAAATGCATTTACATTAATTGCTGCTTTGTTTAAAACCTTCAGCGCACAAATTAATCATCCTAAAATAAAACTACTTTCATTAGAAAATGGATATTTTCAGAAAAGGCACTTGGCCTTTTCTCCTGCAGCAATGGATTGTGGGTAATACCCTTCACCCAGGTCTGCATCGATGAGGACTTGGGTGAAGTGCGGATCAGGGGCATGATCAACTTTCACACTTGAGAATCGGGACACCCTACGTACTTGCACCCCTGGTGGGGATTGCATACTTGAAGGGCACAAGTGTGGAAGTGCAAGTACTGGAAATTGGCTGGAGTCTTCAAAGCAGGTGGGCGGATCTGGAGAACAGGACAGCTGTAGCTCATATATCCATCAACCGACCAGGGATAAAAGGACTGAGACTTCTACATTTGCCAAATGATTACTCACTTTGGGTATCTCTTGACGTTTCTCCAGATTCGCCTCATGTTTCTAGTTATCTGATATTGCCTCTAGTTCAGAGCCTCGCTTCTGTTTGACCTGTCTCCCGTGCACTATTCTAGCTACTCACTTCTTGCAGCCAAGCTCAGCCATAACCCCACGGATGTTGTCTCAAGCCAAGTTTCATTCTTAATCCTGACCGACCCACTCTAATACTGCTCACCTGGCTGCTTTCTGGACCTGCTGGGTCCCACCTCTCACCTGTCTCGTGCAAACTCACCCTCAGGCCACACCCCTCCCTCTCATCTCCAGTTTACTCAACAGTCTCTTGTCTCTACTCCAGTCTCAACTGCTGGGCACTATATCCTGATTTTAAAATACTCTGTTTTTGAGAGACTGCTTGGAGCTTCTTTGTCCTTCGCCTCCTTTGACGGCGCACCTTTAGTCGTCGTCAGTTTTTATAATGGTTATTTTTCCTTACCTGTGGTCTGTTGTGTGATTCTGCATGTCTTGGGAAAGAAAACTCACTCCAAACATGACAAACAAACCTAGGTTTCAATATCATCACATTAAATTAGTTCATATTGGAGTATTTGAAATTCTTTGCTCATTATGTGTTTTCATGATCTTAAAGGTTTAATCAACTATTAGAGAAACAAATGTGCTTTATTAAGTTAATGTTCAATTCAATTCAATTCAAGTTTATTTATATAGCGCCAAATCACGACAAGTCGTCTCAGGGCACTTCACATAATAAACTAATGTTCTATCTCAGGCCATGTTTTAACATTAGCAGATGTGCAGATGTTTAAGAAGACTGAACAGATGGAGCACTTGAGGGGGGGGGGGGGGGGCGCACACACGGGATTCGGGGGCCACAAAGAGGGGCTATTGAGGACCACTGTGCTAGGGGTTTCTCTGTAATTGCCATTCAGGAAAGTGCTTGTTTGTTGTCAGTTGACAAGTAAAGAATTTTATCATTGTAGGTGATCATATTACTTTTTAAGGCACGGAGAACTGGTAAACCCTATCTACTGTCTTTTGAGGAAGATGTGATGGCCTTTACATCACCACTAGAGGGAGTCAGACTTGATTATCTGTGGTATGGACCAGACTTCAAGCAGGTTAAATATTTAAAAATTGCAGATTATATTTTTTTAATTCTGTGCAAAATCAATATTTACTATTTGGATTCAAAAGAATAAATAACGTCTGACATTTGCACTGTAGATCAATGGAAACCAGCTTCAGAACTAATAAAATCTTTATTTTAAATTTACAAATTGAAGTTCACTCAAAAAGCCAATGTTCTGAAACAAAAAATAAGCATCTGTGCTAATAAACAATAATGCAAAATGAGTTAAATAGAACTGTCAACATTCAACATGTTTATTTCGTTAAAATTCTAATGTTACCTATTTACAAATGGTAAATATGAATGCACAAATGCTGATTTGTATTCAATGGAAAAAAAAGATAAGAAATTAAACTACAAATGACAATAATAAGTGGGACAGTTTACCTCCCCAAATATGGTCAACCTGTGGCTATTCACTGCGTTCAGTACCTGTAATTACACTTTTCTTCCTGTGGATATCACTGATGACTTATTGTATATGTTGGAAATCAAAAGGAAAGAGAAAATTAAAATGAACTTTAAATGAAAACCTTCAAACGTATATCATTTTAACCTTGATTGCTACGAAATAGGAAACAGGTATTTATTTTTTTTTACATTTTCTAATGAGACATTTAAAGGTGCAACATGGGAGATTTTGAAACATAGATGAAGGAAGGTTACATTGAAACAGATTTCCTTCTCAGCCAGCTTGGCGTTGGCACATTTTTCTCCTTTTAAAGAGGCTGAAGAGGGACGTAGTTGTTGTTTACAATCTCACCCATCTGTATACTTCCTTTTTCCAGAGTCCAGTATATGTGAGCTAGCAAAGTTGTAAAGTCTTTTGAGGGCATTTTGGGCGCAGAGCGAGTACTCTTTTGTTTTTAAACAGGGACTGCAGTACTCAAGTCTCACCACAAGATGTCATTCTCACTCCAAGAACCTTTTAGATTTTACAATATCATACATAATACAAAAACTGTACTAAGAAGCAGTATTTTGAGGCACTTTTACCTAGAAAACACAAACAATTCTATAGGCACAAAATTGAATAATCGCTGATGAAGACTGACTCAAAATTGAGCAGGTACAGGTGTCATCAGTTACTCAGCATGTTCTTGTATGTTAGGTTCAGCTGTATGAGGGTTTTCCAGCATTTTAATATCTGAATAGACAATTTCGTCCTCATGGGTGCCTAAAAAAGTTTAGAATTAATGTCAAACAGTATGAAAATGTATTTTCCAAAACATTTTTTTCTTTTCTTGTTCATTTTCTTACCCTTACTGGTTGGTGCGTTTTTTGTTTTTTTAACACATTTGATTAGAAGTAGTCCAAAGGCCAAAAGCAGAAGGAATTTGACAATGAAAGCTAGCACACGTATAGCAGTGTCAGAACCTGGAAAAATGAAACTTAGATTTAAGTGGGGAAAAAATATATATCAGCCATGGTTGGATTTGCTGTGAAAGAATAAACTTTAAAATCTATTGCAATTTTATTTAGTAAAAATATATGCACCCTAATAAAAACATGCATTGATTTAAATCAGACCATTTTAAACTACTTGCTGTACCTTTGCATGCCATCAGATGAAAAACGGTTTCATTTCTGCAGTAATTGTTCCGTACTTGGCACACAAACTTTCCAGTCAGCTGTCCGTGAATGTTGATGGAAACACTTGAGACGTTGGAGTCTTTACCTGTGCTGTTCAGGAACCGACTATGTTTGCTTTGAATCAGAATGTTATCATCCACAGTCAAAAGGAATTCGGCCCCGTCCTCCTTGGAGGAGCAGGTGATTGCCCTCACTTGAGATGAAAAACACACCTGAGACACGGTTGGCTTTGATATCAGAGCTGCAAATAACATGTAAAGATAAATACAAAGAACGAGTAAGTTACTATAGTTTTTTTTTTTAATGAGTCTAAAAGTAAAAAATCTGAGACTAAATGGTAAATGGCGCGTTACACTACAACCACTCATTCACCCACAAACACACATTCACTTGCTGGTGGGCTGGCTGGAAAAAATGAATATATTCATTAAAACTTCACCATAATTTTCACTGAACTTTTTTATAATGCATTTCAAGTTAAATCAAAAATTAAAAAGAAGAGAACACTTTAAAAAAGCAACTAAAGTTTGATTGAACATGAAAAGTGAACAAAATTGGTGGTTTCTTGAAAAGTACAAACTGTCTGTCTCCCTTACAGTATGCTGCGTAGTTCTAGAACCCAAGTTTGTCATTTTGTATTTGTGGTTTTTAGCGGTCAAAGGTTACAATAAAAACTTACTGCCTATATACATGTACCTTTGTCATAATTTTTCTTCAAATGATTCTCTTAAGTGTTGGTATTGCTGTAAAAAGTGAATTTCCCCATTGTGGGATCAATAAAGTCTATTCTATTCTGTTCTAAAATCAAATTTGATGAATTTCAAAAGCACAAAAAACATTTTAGTGTTCCTGAAATCTAATATTATTATTCCTCTTTCGGCTTTTCCCTTCAGGGTTCGCCACAACAAATCATGTCTCCATTTAGTGCTACGTTTCTAAAATATAATATTTTCTTATTCAATTGGGCTTTATTATAATTGATAAATGACCTTCACTTGTATAGCGCCTTTCAGAGTCAGAGGACTCCAAATTGCCTTACACTACAGTGTGTCATTCATCCATTCACACACACATTCACACACATACAATGCGGCCATTACTATGACCACAGGCTCTTTCTGATATAGAGTACAGATTACACATAGGCTTCCGAAGGGAGCCCAGTGAGATCGGGATAGGGTCATTATTGGAGGGGCTCTATTTGGCCTCGGACCCCAAAATGCCTTGAAATGGCCCTGGGTGTGGGACAGAGTTTTGAAGGGGATCTGAACTATATCAAGTGTATGAATTTAAAACATGTAGTGGGGGTACATGTACCTACATTTTCTTTTTCAAGCACTTTTGTTTTCTTGTTTTTAATTGGCTTTTTTCCTGTCCTGTCTGTCTTTTATCTTCCTGCATCTCCTCTCAGTCCTCTAGAAAAACTGCTGCCTGACTTCCTATTCTTTCACCTCATGACCTACTTTTGAACTAAGCAGATCAACGCGATCTACTGACTGCAAAAATAGCGGAGTGCGTGGCCGCGCCAGTGAGGTGGAGTCACCATTGAACTGGTAATGAACTCTGCAGCAGCAGAGAGCATCAGGCACAGTTTAAAGACAGATAATACCAGAGAATATTAGTGAACATGAACAATCATGTGTTGATTATATTTTTTGGGTGGCACCGCTTTAAGAACATTACTGTAGCCATGCGCATGATGCAGCTGCCTGGAGCGCATCAACAATCAGTGCTCTTCGTCCTCTCCACTCAAAAGAATCCTGATATTCTTAGAGTCCACATAAAAAATGTAATATTTGTAGAAAATGGATCTATTTTTTTGGGCTCCCTCGATGTGTAAGTTGAAGTCTTCTAGGGGTGCCCATCACCCTTTCAGGGGAGCCAGGCTCCCCTTTGCTCCCCTGTAATTCAAACCCTGTATATTATCATAAACAATAAGTTATTCATAACCCGACACACGTTTAAAAAAATTTGGCAAATTTGCTTCAACTCAGATACATACTTTAGCATACATAAAATATTAGGTTCAGTGATAATTAGAATTATTGGCCTAAAATTTAACAAATGAATGTTTTATGGTAAAACACATATTTAAAATCTTCTGATAATGACCCTCATGTTGCTATAAAGCATGCGGGACATTTATTTCTGAAAACAACTATTTCATAAATAACCCTTTAATTTACCTACCATGAATTGTCAGATTCAGCTCAGCTTGTTTCATTATTTTCCCGTCATCAAATCCGTATTCTTCCAGTCGATATTGTCCAGCGTGTCTTTTCGTGGCTGTTCCTAAGTTTAATTTTCCCTTCTGGATTTGGAATATTGGACAAATATATGCCTCGTCCAGTGTCACTGTCCCATTTTTAGTTTTCTTAAAAATCCTGTATTTTGCATCTTTGATCAACCTCAGCTCAGTGTTTGTTTCATTTGAAAGGTGGAAAATGAGCTGCTGTCCTTCTGCGCCGTGACACTGACGGAATCCAGTCGAGTCGCTAAAGTTACATTCAGTAGATCCTAGAAAACAAAACAAAATGAAAAGGCAAAACACTTTTGTCGACATGTGACACAGTACTAAGTAAGTTGTTTTAGAAAAACTGTCATAAAATTCTATTTGATGTCAGTTTTTATGTATTCATTATGTATTAGAATTCTTTGTTGACTCTTTGTTTTAATTAGAAAATTACCTTTTGCCAGAACCATTGCTGTGAGAGCTACAAAGATCAGGTAGATGGTCATCATTTTGTCTGCAAAAAATAAAAATAAAAAAGTTAATCTTAAGTTACAGCAAAACAAAATTTTTATATAAGTATTTTGTAATTATGGAGTTGCAAAATCAGGCAAGAATACTGTCAAGAAGACATACTTCTTGGTAGGAGTTGAAGCATAATAGAATAAAAACCTGTTTACTGTTTTAGTTGTAAAACATACAAACAAAAATAAGTTGTGACATTCTTGCAATTTTGTATGGCAATCTAGAGCTGCCACCCACGCAAAATAAAATCAAACCAGTATCATATTATAACGTGAAAACGTTATTGTTCTGACAATATAATTTTCACATTTTCATAACATAACATTCTTAAAATAAACATATTTATCACATTTGTACAATATCATAATGGAAAAATGTGTATACATAGATGTGTATATGTGTGTTTTTATTAGAACATGATATATTGCTCAAATATTAGCAATGTATTGTAAAACCATCAAAATGATAGTGTTAGAACAATAAAATTATAATCATGTTATAACATGATATCACTTTTATTATATTTTTACACTGGAGGCAGCTCTTGGTTTCCATAAATTTGTTTCATTTATTGCTCATTTGTTCCTCATATGTTCTAATAACAAAAAAGTAGAAAGACCCATACCTCTTCCTGATGTGATGAGATGTGATGTTGTCCTTCCTGTTTGCTACAGACTTGTGCTTTCTGCAGGCAAATATGAACACGTATTTGTCCTTGTTTTGTTTAATCGAGTGATATAAATAAAGATAACTGTGCTGCTCTGTTCTCAACCACAGTATGCAAACAAGAACATGATGCTATGTATTATTTTTGGCATGAAAGACTATTGAAATGGAACTACAACTACTAAAGACAGAACAAACAAATCCCTTTCTATCACTAATACAATTTTAAAGGTTCATAAAAAAGTATAATTTTATAAAAAAAATTATTTCATCTGAAAAGTAATATGTATTTACACTGAAGAACAATATGCAATCAAATTTTAGTTAGCTGCAAAGTATTGCAGGAATGGACACATCCACTCTTCAGCCGAAAGTTTAAGTTTTGAATTTTATAGGTCAAAAGTAAAGAAATGTAGTCATGAAATGTTTTCATACTCAAACTTCAAGGTGCATTAGGTAAGCATTTTAGGTCTGCTAAGCATGTTGCAAATGCAGAAAGAGTACACGTAAACACGTTTATGCCTGAGTGCCGGATTATTTTTATCAATTTTGGGGGAGTGAGGCTTGAAGTGATGCCTTTTGAGTGCAGAAGGTTGTTGAAACCACATTGATTTTGCAGCTAATAGCATACTGACTGGTGTCTCACCACAGAAGAAAGGAGATACAATTTCTAAAACAAGCATAGAAATGTTTCTCTATTGATTTGAAAATGCTCACCTGACTCTGCGCCTGTCCTTTGTAAATCACACAGTTTTTTAATGTTTCATGACCGCAAATAAACTCGCTGATCTGTTCCCAAAGCATGGCTCACAACTGAACATCAAAAGAAATGGTGGTTTTAACACTCCCCGCTCCTTTTGGGAATCTTCCCTGAGATGCTTCAGCCAGAACCGGAATGCCAGAAGAAACAAGATAGTGCTAAACACCAGTTACTGTTTCTAGGTCCAAACATCAAACTTTTTTGGTCCTTGACTTCAAACGGTGTCTTTTTGGGACTGTTTCTCCTTCTCTAATATTACTGAGTGGAAAACCTCTCACACCAGTGGTGTTCTGTTGCTAAATGTGTGAGTGCGTAATGAAAGGAGGACCCAAGGAAATGCTGCGGTTCAGCAAGACCGACAACCGGATGATCCAGTAGTTGCTTTCGATATGAAATGTGTTACTGATCGAGGTTTTCAGACAAATGAGAGTGAACAACCTGAATGCATTAACTTCATAACCCAAACTTTTTATTGACTCTTTATAGGAACCTTCTTTAAACATTACACATGTAAACAGTTTGCATGATACTACCAGAAAAACCCCAACAAAGAACATTACGCAAATGTTACTTTGATTTTTGGGAAAATAACTCGCTTTCTTGTGTAGAATTAGTTTTCCTGAAGGTTCTCCTGTTTTAGATTTTTCATCAGAAATGTTAATTAAGAGATTTGTGTAATCTAAATTGACATTAATTGATTATTGCACTTTGTAATTAAGAGTGTCTTTTTTTTAAAGAACTTGGCAGTTTTGGTTTGCTTTTAGGACCCCCTACTGTCTTTTTGTAGAACAAAAAATAAAACATATCTCCTCGCTGTGCGTTTGTATTTTTACCACCTGTATCTATCAGCTGAAATGTCTCCCCAGCCTTCCTTAGTGTCTACAGGGGTGATTAATCACTAAATTAAACAAATCAGCTGTGTTCATGTTCTAAAACATGCAGGGAACATGCTGGAAGCAGACTGCAGAGCCAGGTATGTCAGCTCAATGTTTAGTCCAAACGGAGCGGCCACCAGTCTGAAGTTGCAAGTGGAATTTTCTGGCCACAGGGGCGATGGGGGCTGAGTGGCCTTTCCTTAACCCTGTGAATGATTATTTTAGCACATACTGGCTCAAGAAAATGATTTAAAAGTATGAAAAATTTGCAAAATATTCCTTTTATTTAAATCAGATGCATTCTTGTTTTTGTTTCACAATCTCATTTTCCAGAGATATCTTTAAATAGCGGGTAAAGCAATATTGTTTATTTGTCTTAAAAGAGCAGTAACTGCTATTATCTGGAATATCAGTCATTTCTGATAACAGCAGAAATAGTTCGAAACCATGAAAACAACCAATGACCACATGATGGAGACAAAGGCCACAAAAGGTAGCCTAATGTTTGGCAAGAGCTAAAAAAGTGTTTTTCTCCAGAATTTTGCACCAGTTCATTGCACCTAAAACACTTTTTGCATTGTTAATGATGTAATATTAACTAGAGATCTTCTTTCAAAAAGTATTTAGGAAGATAATGGAATATTTATGTAGACTTACCTTGCACTTACCAACATCGACTTCATAAGTTTCTCCTAAAACGGTATTTGCATTTGAGGACAATAAATTCAGCACATCACATAAACTCAAGTACAATCATTGTAGTATTTTGCTTGTATTTAGCACAATAGTTTACTTATTTTTTTCTTCACTTTTTACACAAATCAGTGCATTTGGTCTGTTTTTTTTTTCTCTAATTAAACAACAAACATATCTGAAGATGCATGTTCCTCCACTCCACTTTGGGAAAAACACCAAAGGTAACATTTTCTAAATTAACATTATAAAAAATCCTTAGTCAGCCATCTTCCCATGTGCACCAAATGACTTTACCATTTGACATTATCCTCAGGTCATGTGGAATAGTACTTTCTCCCCTCACTACAATTATTCTTTCATGCTGTGTTTTTATAAGCTGACCAAAGGAAAAAAGATGGAGGGCTTCCCCCTATGCCTGATGTCCCGGTTTAGAAAACATGTGGCCTGGGAGTAATTGGGTTACAACTGCAGCAGTCCAGTGAGCTGGCCTTGATTTGGAGAATGTCTCAATTTGCTTTAGACCAACAGCCCGCTGCTTCCAGCTTTTACGATTCTGGGTTTCGACTCAGACTTTTTACTGTAAAGAGCTGGACGACGTCCAGAGGAGAGAGTGGAACTCAGTCCTGGGATTGATGAATTCAACCTTATTCGTGTGGTCAGAAGGCAAAGATGGACATTTTGTTTGTGATAAACGTTTAAAAGCAGTTGCAACATAGATACACATCATTTTAACAAATATTGTTGAAGTTAAAGACATTTTGGAAAAGCTTTTACAAAATCTTGTAAACATGTTTAGAGTTTAAGCAGGTGATGCTAAAATGTAGAAGTTTTTCTATCAACACACCTGATTTTAATCAGTAGGTGATTAACAGGCTTCTGCAGAGCTTGATGACCTGCTGAATCAAGTATGATGGATTAGGGAAACAGCTAAAATATGCTACATTGGAGCCCTGAAAGACCTGGATTGGACACCCCTGCTCTTATTTAAATCACCAAAAAAGAAAGAAAGACACTCTGGATATGAACTAATCATCCAAAGGTAGGGTGAGACATTGCTATTTTCTTAAGGTTGACTTTTGTCTCGTCTAGAAAAACACAACTGGTGTTTCAAAACAAATTTTAATGTTGGAATAAAAAAAAATAACATTTACAGGATCCCAAGATGCCAAAACAAGACAAAAAAGTAAAAAATACTTTGCCTAATCTCAACACTTCTATGTGGATTACCCAGTTCTAGTCTAGTGTGCTTCTTGTTAAGCTTTTAATTCATCTACTTATGTCAGGGGCGGAGCTTGATATGTGCAACATGTGCGGCCGAACAGGGCGGCATTTAATTTCCTTTATTTATTTATTTATTTTTATTTTTATTTTTTTTGCATCAACCAATGCATAAACAAAACATAGAAATTGCATGTTCTTCATAATAATAACAGTGATGAGTGATGATAATAATAATATCTCTGTAATAAAAGCACAACAAAGTCATTGTTTGCGTTTATATAGTGATTTTATTGCACCCCCTTGTGTCCGCCGTGCCTCTGTGGATGCAGGGTGGGATAGTGCGCTCTATAGCGCCCTTCATCAGGTGGGGGCGGAGGGATCTCGGAGAATGATGGTGGAGGGATACAGGTACCGTTTGATATATCACCACTCACAAACATAATGGAGAAGAAATGGTCGAAGCCATCTGGTGCCCAAATTGGAAAAAAAAAGAAAAGAAGAGGAGAAGAAACAAGGAAAAGATGCAGGTATGAGTGTCTTTACTATTTAGTTGGTATTTTTCCCGCCTATCCCCCAACTTATTGATTAACTAACCTCTCCAATCTGTACGTTTTGCATGGTGCTATGATGATCCTTTCAAATGTCTTTTGCTAGCTTCTTACGTTGCATGTATTTAGATCTACTTCCACCCGCTAACCTTTTCTTTGTCAAATGAGCTTTTATGAAAAGCTAAGAGTGGGAAAACCAAAAGGCTGATAAACAAACGCTACCAAATAAAAATGAGTCTTCGAGAATTTTGCTGAAATACATTGATATTAGTATTGATCACCATGGCAGGTTGTCCTGCTTTCTCGCGCCATTCTTTTGGAATTGGGAAATGAGCTATTATTTACCCCATGAAAAACGGAGCGGCAGCGGGCCGCTGGAGGTGCCCTGCTAGTAAGATCCCGTTTAAACTGTAAACTGCCATAAAATAAAAACTATAATAGCTAGAGCGGTCTTTTTTTAGCTGAAAGTTAAGACTCACACCTTTCAGCACATCTGTACTGTACAAGTCGATGATGTCATCATGTTGCGCTACGTGTGCTGCACGCTGCGGCTATGTTAAAAACTCACAGTGACCCAGAAGCAGAGTGGGAGAGTTAAAGAATTTAACCAGTTAAAATGGATTCATGGATATTTAATCAATAGTCGTGGCTCCTCTTGTCATTTAGTTTTTGTCTACCAGAGACATTTGCCGAATAAGGAAATAAAAACTTAAAATGACAAAAAAATTAGGGAAAAACACTTGTTTTGTATCTTATCAATTATTAATGATTAATAGATTGTTGGTATTTTAACTTTTGGTAAAGGCAAACACACAATTTCCAGGTTGCCCCAGTCTGGAGAAGTGATTGTGACATCAGCCGTTAAAAAAAATAATACTCTGAGGTTTTTATGAATAATTTGTACTTTTACTTGAGTATTTCTCTAACGCCAGTACTTTTATTTCTAAATGAGTAATATTTTAGCAATGTAACAGTACTTGTACTTGAGTACAGATTTTCAGAATTCTTTCCACCACTGCTGAAAACTGTAAATACTCATTGTAACATGTTAATTAAAATGCTAAAGCAACAGACGTGACATGAAGATTGTATTGTTTGTTTTATGCAACATCAGGAGCCCTACGCAGATA